ACTGTGGAAGGCACTACAATAGCATAAGATCAAAATCTGAATCTATTTGACTTCTGCTTCTCTCTCTGGTGTTGGCCAGTGGCGTGAGTTTTCACTTGCAGTGACTATTTCATTCTTTGCTTTCTTTTCAAATGCATTAAACATTTCCCTTATTATTTCTGGCCCACATGGTTGAAATAGCCTTTCAGCTGCCCCCTTGCTTCTAATCCCTCCCCCTCCAATCCGTCCTGCAAATCTTGACTCAGTGACTCATGTTCCCCGGCCTCTCGTAGCTGAGCCTCTGAGGCTCATGGAGGAGATGGTAGCTGTGCCGTTACAGTCTGTGGGGATTAGGAGAGGTACCCTAGACATCTAGGGAAACAGGAAACACCCAGAAGACTTAAAAAGGCAGGCATTTTCCCAGATATTTTATTACTAATCTTTCTTGTGGGCTTTCTCCTCCTGCAGAGATTTAGAAATGGTAATAATAATTTGGCCTTACCTGGACCACTTGAATTGCTCTGTGGAAGTGGAGCCTAGGTTTAGGTTTCATTTTATTGTGCTCCAGGTGATTCTGATGTGAAGCCAAAATTGAGAACTGCTGTCATCGATTTGTGATTCTTATAAATGGTCTCCGCACCAGCAGCCGCCACATTCGCTAGGTATTTGTTAGACATGGACATTCGTGGGTCCTGCTTCAGACTTAATGAATCAGAAACTCTGAGAGAAGGGCTACTCACTTTGTGTCTTAATAAGCTCTCCAGTGCCTTTTGTGGATATTAATAAAAGAGAAACACTTTATTAGATAAGTCTTAGTTCCATTCCAGGTCTCAAAACCACAACTAAATTTGGGAAGGGTGTTTGTTATTTGAAAGTTGCTATATTGACCAGACCTGAAACAATTGGTAAGAGAGATAAACTGGTATACTAAGTGTCTTGCTAGTGATCATTTGGTACTTCTCAAATCTCTAAAGAGTAGTTCAAGGTATTCTCTCTTTATTATTTAGTTTTGTTTTTTTTTAATATATTTTATTGATTTTTTACAGAGAGGAAGGGAGAGAGATAGAGAGCTAGAAACATCTATGAGAGAGAAACATCGACCAGCTGCCTCTTGCACACCCCCTACCGGGGATGTGCCCACAACCAATGTACATGCCCTTGACCGGAATCGAACCTGGGACCTTTCAGTCCACAGACCAGCGCTCTACCACTGAGCCAAACCGGTTTCGGCTATTATTTAGTTTTCGATTACAGTTTTGATTTAACAGTATTTTGTATTACTTTCAAGTGTACCGCAGAGCAGAGAGACATTCATTTGGTTATAATGCGTTTCCTTCAATAATTCAAGTGCTCACCAGGCACCATAGATAGCTTTTACAGTATCGTTGAATACATTCCCTATGCTTAACCTTAAATCCCCAGTACTATTTTGTAACTGTTAGGGTCTCCAAAGGAGGTGTGCATGAGGCCAAAATGCATAAAGAATTATGAGTTTATTAGGTCATCTGAAAATCAGATGGGCTAAGCCCCCAAATGGTGCCAGCACCCAAGGACGGTGAGTCAGAGATGTTAAAGGATCCTAGGCGAGCTTTTTCAGTAGGGAATTCTCCGGGCACATCCAGATCCTGGGCAAGTGCAAAGGGGAAAGTTACTGGTCTTAATAAATGGAATGTGGTCTAAGTGAAAGGGAAAGTCGATTGCAAAATGATCTAAAGGTCAGTTTCCTAGGGAAAGGGGGTATCGATTTCATCAGTTGATAGACCTAACAGTAACTATCAATTAGTGCTTCTTAAATCGCATCACCTTTTTTTCCCCTTATCCCCTAAACCCCCTCTCAAGGGGTTATTTAAAATAAAGGAGCAAACTTCTCAGGGATACTGATGCTTTGTTTCCCAGAGAGAGAACTCAAATAGGTGAATTTAAATATCAGTTAGCTGTAGGATCGGCCCAAGAAACATCTTGAAGTAGTACTAAACATTTTGAAGGGGTATAAAATGTCTTTTAAATCAATTTTCAGTGAGTAAGAAGACAAAAACCCCATTTTGGATTGTTTAGCTATATCCCTGCCTGGGGCCAGAGAACAGGGATCTTTGAAGTACCTGCCAGTTCTAAGCATACAATGACTCTAACTACCATCTGATCATCATTTGTTTATTTTGTCACTGGTTATTTTGGAAATGCTTTCAAAGTAAAGTAAGGACTGGTGGAAAGTAAAGATGCCTAACTTGAGTGTTGTTGTTCCAGTCTGGGAGACTTTGGGGTGAGATTGTCAAATGAAATTCACGTGCTTTGAAAAGCTTTTATGATTTTTTAATGAAGTTTAAAAGCTAAAGGAATGGGATTAGGACCATAAAATCTTTTACTCTTAACATTGTTTCTTTGAACTGATTTAGTGCATTTGTGTATGAGAAATAGAGATCTGATTTGGATTGAACCCTCATTGTTTGTAATAATATGGTCTGGAAAAAATTTCCTAGACACAGAAATGGTATTGCATTCTGTAATGACAAAGGACTGCTATCCTCCAGCTCTCCAGTTAAACTCTTCAATGAGAAAAATTAACATCAGTTAATATATCGAAAGGCTTGAGACTTTCCATGCATCATTACATTCAGATGTTATATGTTTATATATTTACTCTTAGATCAATGGAAAATGTTTAGTAGGGGAGAATGTTAGCTGAGAAAGTAGATTATATAATCTGTGATTGGAGACATTGCAGAAAACTGTACATTTGCATCCTTGTTTTTCAAAAGATTGTAATAGAACCCAGTTACAGTGCAGATGTGGGGTTAAACAGATATCTTCATCAGTTGGGGCTGCTGTGACAAACTACTATATGAACTGGGTGACTTACAAACATGTATTTCTCACAGTTCTGGAGGCTAGAAAGTCCAAGTTCAAAGTGCATTGTGTCTGATGAGAGCTCACGTCCTAGTTCATAGACAGCCACCTTCTCGCTCTGTCCTCAGATGGTAGAAGGCCAAGAGAGCTCACTAGGGTTCCTTTTATAGGCATATACTCCCACTCAGGAGGGCTTCCCCGCAGGACCTAACTACCTCCCAGAGGCATCACCTCCTACCACTGTCACATTGGGGGCTAGGTTTCCTACATGCATTCAGTCCATTACAGTTGAAGAAGGCAATTAAATATTCAGCTTTTCCCTTAGCATTTGAGAGAACCAAGTCTGGCATAGTAAAGGGACTGAATGAGACAGTATGGTCTAGTGGACAAGACTTGAGATTTGAGTCTGAGGACCTAGGTTCTTGTTATATCTATTTCTTTCTGGTTTTCTCAACTGGGACATGGTAACTTTTTTGGGCCTGCCTTTTTTTTTCTATTTTTATAAAATATGAAAAATAATATTTATCTCAATATTAAAATAATATGTATCTCAATGGCTTGTAAGCATGACACGAATTAATATAAATGAAAGTTATTTGAAACTAGATAATAGATTATTATTAATAATAGATTTTTATTTGCTCTTTTATTGACAAGGGACTCATCAAAGGAAATATGCATTCGAGGAGAAGTTTCTAATTCTTAAAAAGACAGAAGTTCTTTACAGATAATTTTCAGTTAGAATAAAATATGGTGAACCTGAAGTGAGTTATCATTCTCTGACAGACTAGTTACAGTAGTTTCCCACTATGATTATTTAAAAATGTTACCATAGGTGGAGATTTGCATTTCTCTGCTTCATAGAAATATTATGTTTAAAGTAGAAAATGTATTTGCAATATTTTTTAAAAGCTTTACTGTATGCCAGAAATCTCCTCATGGCTGAATAGCATTTTGGAACGATGCACTAATTTCTTTTCTGGCACATTACAGATGCAGCACAATGGGAGAATATGTAAAATGTTTCACACACCAAATGTCTTTATCATGCTTGCTGCACATAAATGCAGGTGTATATTGCATGCGTAAGCCTTTGGAAAATGTGAATGAGAAACTCATGGCTCGGTGGTGCTACACATGAATGAGTATACAGCTCGTTTGTCATACACACTAACTGTGCTCTCTGGCCTGCAAAATAATTTGATGCTGGTTAGTAATTAGTAAGGAGGCTTTACACATACACACTGGTAAATCCAAAGTAACTTTCAGATATGCCCAATTTTTTTTTATCTTTGAAAAATGATAAGGAAGCAAGATTATTGCTAAAAATATCTGCAATACAGTTTGGGGTCAGTAAATGGATTTCAGGTACTTAATAAACCATATTAAATGAGGATCATATCTTCAGGGCAAATATCAAATGCATACTAACCTTCCCAGTAATATTCAGAGGTTACATAGGCACTAAAATTTTTCACGCTCAGTTTAAAAAAATTTTTGTTTTAGAAAGCTGTCATATTTCAAATTCATTAATGCATATGTAATTTAAACTATAGCAAATTATTATTTGAAGAATATATTAAAAATGGTTTTTATTAATCCTCAAAGATTAAAAAAAAAGAATATATTTAATAAATACCATAATTTCAGAGAACTTCAGCCCTATTTCTGAGCTGTGTCTTAAAAAGTTATTTACTTGTGACTATTTTGTAATGAAATCAGTAGGCTAAGTTTTAAGAGTGTTGAGTCTTCTCATTTGGACAGATGTGTGGTTTTAAATCAGAATGCAGAAATTACAAGGTCTGACAGGACATCTGATAAATGCAAGCAAGACCAACTGTATGAGGACTGAGTGAGGGAAACAAACATTTGTAGATTGCTTGGGAAAAGCTAAGTGTTCATCAATTTACTGTAGTCTTGGGATTTTAAAATCTATGTCTAAAATTTTGTAGAAAATTTTGTCATTTAAGGAAGTTTGGGGAGTGAGTATGATCTGATCTGTGAGTGAGGTTCTGCATATATAGCTTTGCCAAGATGTGCCACAGTGTGGGAAGTGAACTGATATATGAAAATTTACTTCTAATATTATATCTTTTGATGGAGAAGTTCTGTGAATACAGTATCTCAATTTTTTAAAGTAATTGCAGCTATTTCAAGATATCTATGCTTTCTCATAGAATGAAGACACACACAGAGATGGTGTTTCTAAGAAATTTTAAAAGGTGTAGGCCTCCTGATTGAAGCTTTGTCAAATTATTGGAATCATTTTTTTATTGTTGTAAGTATAAATATTTGAAATATGTTATTTTGGTCAATGTTGGCTTGTGTTCTTTGTTGAATAAATATTCATTCTCTGTCAGATACCATTCTCATTGTTAGAGTTGTTTATCTTCCCCTGCAACTTCAGTTACATACTTGAATTAATTTAACTCAGGACCCTTGAGAAAACAAAGTCATTACACGTGAGCTAGAAGAGCCCTTAGACATGCTCTGGTTCATACTGTGCATCCATTACAAGGAATTCCTTTGCGATATCTCTAGCAGATGATCATCTTACTCATCTAGTCCAGACGTGGGGAATGTCCAGCCCACAGGCCACGTAAATCCCACAAAATCATTTAGTCACCCCTATGTTAACTATTTGAGTTAATTAACTATTTGACCAAATACAACAGGCTACTTTTTAAGATGATAATTTTATATGGCTCACGAATAATGTTATAAATATCAAAATAGCCTTCGGCAGGAAATAGGTTCTCCAACCCTGATCTAGAGATCCTGGTAGGGAGAAGGGCTGAACTGTTTCACACAATTCCCAGTTCTATGGCTATTCCATCACAAATTGAATCAAAATATGACTTTCTGAAACGGCACCCACCGAGTTCTGACTCTAGAGGATATCCACTTATTCTTTCATCAAATAGTCATGCAAAAATGTGAAGAAATTATCAGTTCCCCTACTCATTTTTGTTGTTTTATTTTTCAATTACAGTTTACATTCAATATTACTTTGGTTTCAGGTGTACAGCATAGTGGTTAGCCATGTACTTTATAAAGTGATCCCCCTGATATTTCCAGTACCTACCTGGAAACATATTTAGTTATTACAATATTATTGACCATATTTCCTGTGCTGTATTTTACATCCCCAAGACTATTTTGTAACTACCAATTTGTACTTCTTAATCCCTTTACCTTTTTTTACCCAGTTCCCCAGTCCCCTTCCTGTCTGGCAGCCATCAGTCTGTTCTCTGTATCTATAAGCCTGTTTCTGTTTTGTTTGTTTGTTTATTCTGTTTTTACATTCCAGCGTAAATGAAATCATATGGTATTTGTCTTTCTCTGACTCACTCATTTTACTTAACATAAGACTGTCTGGGCCCATCCATTTTCTCTGAAAAGATAAGATGTCATGCTTTATGATTGAGTAATATTCCATCCCTTATATATACTACTGCTTTTGTATCTACTCATCTATAGTTGGGCACTTGGGGTGATTACATATGCTAGCTTTGGTAAATAATGCTGCAGTGAACATAGTGTTGCATATATTCTTCCGAATTAGTGTTTGAGGTTTCTTTAAATATATACCCAGAAGTGGAATCACTGGGTCATAAGGCAATTCCATATTTAAGTTTTAGGGAAACCTCATACTATTTCTCATAATGGCTGCACCGATGTGCATTCCTACCAACAGTGCACAAGGGTTCCTTTTGCTCCACATCCTCACCAACACTTGTTATTTGTTGTTTTATTGATGCTAGCCATTCTGACAGGTGTGAGATGGTATCTCAATGTGGTTTTTATTTTCAATACTCTGATGATTAGAAATATTGAGTATCTTTTCATATGTTTATTAGCCATGTGTATGTCCTCTTTGGATAAGTATCTGTTCAGGTCTGCTGCCCATTTTTTAACCAGATTGTTTTTTTTTTTTTATGTTGAGTTATATGAGTTCTTTACAAATTTTGGATATTAATCCTTTATCGGGTGTAACATTGGTAAGTATCTTTTTAATTTTAAAAAATTACTTATTTTGTTATTCCTCAACTGAGGATATTTTTTCCTTTGACTTTTAGAGAGAGTTTAAAGGAGGAAGGGAGGAAAGAAAAAGAGAGAAAGGGGGAGAGAGGAGAGACAGACAGATTAGTTGCCTCCCACACGTGCTTAGGGCTAGGAATCAAACCTGCAACCGAAACCCACAACCCTTCGGTGCACTGGCCGATTCTCTAACCACTGGGAACATCAGCAATCAATATTTATTTTATATGTCCATCAATATTTACTTTATATATTTAGGTCCTTTTATGTTGGGTATATAAATGTTTATAAGGGTTATATCTCTTGTTGAATTGATCCCTTAATCATTATGTAATGTCCTAGCCCACCTTTTTTGGTTTCCATTTGCATGATATTTTTTCCCCATCTCTTTACCTTCAGGCTGTGAGTGTCTTTTGTTCTGAGGTGAGTCTCTTATAGACAACACTAGAGGCTTGGTGCACTACATTCGTGTACTTGTGAGGGGGTGTCCCTCAGCCCGGCCTGTGCCCTCCTACAGTCTGGGAGCCCTTGGAGGGATGTCCAACTGTCAGCTTAGGCCCTCTCACCATAGGCCTAAGCTGGCAGTCAGACTTAGTGCTACTGCGGAGGCAGGAGAGGCTCCTGCCACTGCCACTATGCTCCTCAGCCATGAACCTGGCTTCTCACTGAGCAGTGCTCCCCCTGTGGAGCACACTGACCACCACGGGCAACTCCTGCATTGAGCATCTGCCTCCTGGCGGTCAGTGTGTATCATAGCATCTGGTCTTGCCACTGTTAGTTTTCTCTGCAAAATAAAACCCAGACCTCCTGCTTATAAAGCTAACCTGGAAGCTGGATCACACTACTAAGCAAATAAATGTCCTCTTTTCAAATGTATTTTGCATAAAATTGTCATTATACTTTTGGCAATTATTTTTGGTGTTAATCTTCTCCCGAGGATATTTTTTTCATTGATTTTTAGAGAGACTAGAAGGGAGAGGGAGTGACACAGAGAAAGAAACATCAGTGTGAAAGCACAACATTGATTAGCTGCCTCTTGCATGCCCTGTACTGGGGGTTGAGCCCAGAACCCCAGCATGTGCCCTGGACTGAGAATTGAACTGGCAACCTCCTGGTAACCAACTGAGCACACCATCCAAGGCAGCAAAATGTTTTATTACATGGCAATGTCTCTGGGAGGGATGAGCATTAAGTTGAGAATTTACCAAATAGCTTCTTAAGAAATGACAAAGATGGAGCCATGTGACCCAGAAACTGGAAGATGATGGGTCAAGGTTTGCCTACCTTACTATCTGCTTAGGATTACCCTCACCACAGACAGGACTAATCTTAAAAAACTATTGGCAGATTTCAGAGCTTTCTCACATTCTTTTTGTTTTTGTTTTTTTATTTTTCCCCTTTCTCTCTTCCCTCTCTTCTTCCTCTATTCCAGCTGCACTTAGATGTTTCTGCAAAATGCAATGGAAGGCATGGAGTTTGGATTGGTGGGGGGCTTCAGGCCACAGAAAGATAACCATTAACTGGGTGGTTTTGGCAAGTAACCACTATTTGCCTTGATGTCCTCACCAATAAAATGGAGATCTCTATTTTCTTTTTAACTTTTTATTTATTGATTGGACGTGAGAGAGAGAGAGAGAGAGAGAGAGAGAGAGAGAGAGAGAGAGAGAGAGAGAGAGAGAGAGAGAGAGTTATTGTTCCACTTATTGAAACATTCATTGGGTGCTCCTTGTATCTGCCCTGACTGGGGATTGAACCGTCAACCTTGGCATTTTGAGATAATGCTCTAACCAACTGAGCTGTCAGAACAGGGTGAAATATTTATTTATTAATGCAGCTATAAAACTAAACAACCTGATTTAACACAGTAAATGGAATACATTAGGTGCTCAGTAAGGTCTTGTTCTCTTTTTTACCCTTTCTTTTTCTCTGTTGACTTCCCTGCTTCCCTCCCTCTTTCCAGCATCCAAAGATCTAGCAAACAAATGATCATTCCTCTAGGATTATATCATAGCACTTCACTGAAATTCAGTTTTCACTGGGACAAAGCCGTAGACAAACAATCAGCATTAACTGTTGCTTCTCCACTTTGAGAGGACTTTGAGGGACAGGAGTTCCTGATCACCTCGCTGAGAGCCATGACTGTGGGATCTGTGGATTGGGCAGCAGTTTCACGTGAGCAGTGACGGGAGCCAATCCCAATCCCAACGTGAGGTGTTCCCGTCAGATGGAATCGTCCCCTCACCTGGTCTTCCAGTCCCGGGGGACAGGAAAAAAAGGAAAGGTTTTCCGGCTGACCCAACAAAGTGTTAGAGAAAGACTGATTTCATCAATATTAGTAATGATTTTTTTTTATGAAGTAGATTATAAATTCACCATGTTTGTGAACATGCCATTTCTCAACATTGATCAAGAATAGGGAAGGTTTTGAATAAAAGAACTAAAGTGATCACAACCACAGATATCCAGAGAGCAGCCTTCTGTAAATCTTTGAACTTTTGTAGCAAAAAAACGAATAGTTTGTGCTGAATAAACGGTCTTGAGCACCTAGCATAATCCGGAAGACAGTTTGCACCTAAAGCACCATAACCTAGCCTTCATATCCTCCCTGAGACAGGAAATAGAAATATATAAATCAAAGGCAAGCTATACAGGAAAATCGGCCAGTTTTAGTTACTGATTTTCTTTTCTTTTCTTTTTTTTTTTAAGAGTGTAAGTTTCGATGTCTATATGTGTGCTTTTATTATTTTTATCAATCTACTGCAAGTTTTCAATGTAAACAAGCTCTTAGTTTAAAAGAATAACCAAACTGATTAAGCTGCCTAAAAAGGCAGCTTTTCAGGACTGTGGTCTAATTTGCAGTCTTCCAGGCCAACTTAATAGTGATAGCAAAAACATTTTTATAACTGCATCCCAAATGTAGAAAATAGCCTTTACATTTTCAAGATAAAATTATCTTACTGTTAGTTTTGGAACACACCATAACTTAGACAACTGCTGAAACCATTTACTGCTGTGACTTGGAGTATGAACCTGGGAATCATGCCCTCTATAAATTATTCATCACATCTATTAAAATCAGCTTCCTGTTGATCCTTTGTGTTTTTCATATCCAACTAAAATGCTTTCATATTTAAATATCACTGCAGCTGTATATATAACAGTTTTATTGAAGCCATGAATGCTTCAATTATGACTTTTGTTTCATTTCACTGAAGAAAAAGCCAAAGCATTTTTACA